AGAAACCACCCCAGCAAAAATGCTTTAGAGGGGTGCAAGTCCAACCCAAGCCGCTGGCCTTTGGTGCCAGAGTTGAAGTGGAAGTCCCTTCCTGACATTTGGCTCGGAAGCAAGGCTCATCACGATGTGGCCAACGCACGGACGTTGACAGCCTGGGTCCTTGTAGCCGGCTTGCAGGCCTCTCTGAGAATTCATGCCCCCCCCCCCCCCAAAAAAAAAAACTCATTAGCAGCTTGTGACAATTGAATCATGAGTGGTCTCTGACTCGTTTCACGTCACCCAAACTTACTTGACATATTTTGGGTTCTATGTCTATGTGGGGCAGCTCATGATGGGTTGCATGAAGTTCATAGGGTGGGTTGGGCCTTTGGGTGAAACACAATTATCATGTTTGAGGACTGTCCCCCTGACCCCTGGCCAAACAAATCATTTTTCACTTCTGCCAAAGGTCCAGGCCTTCTTGACTCTCTTGGATCCATCATCTCCAGCACGTCCGGACGACTGCCAAGTTCAAAGAATACCCCAAAACCCAGAGCAGGCTGCGCTTGCGCTCCAGTGTCAAGAAATATCATGTTTCAGCTTGTGAAGCATAGTGCACGGTTCCGGTCAATCTGCCTTGTCTTTTTTTGCAGCTGTTCCCTCATCAGCCACTCCTTCTGGCACCTGGCTAGGACGCAACCCCTAACTAGACATTGACAATTTGCTGATACCCTTTAATTTCTCAGGCATATCAACTGGCCCTGTGGCCTCCTATTTCTGCAATCAAATTATGTGACTTCAGGGAAGCTAAGCTCAGCCATCAATTCTGCAGGCCTTTTGGCTTTGTGCAGCTCTTCTTTTCTTCGGCTTGGCCTTGGGCTCAGCCACCTCCTGGCAGGAAGGGGGATGTCAGGGCGTTGGTGTTTACATCCAGAAACTCGCCATATCAGCGGCTGGGAAGGGGTGACCAGTCTGGCTCAGGTAGTCAGCCAATTTCATCATTTAAGGTTAACAGGTTTTCAGCCAATCGGTTCAAACATTTGCAAGGAACTCACTGCAAAATCGAGGGCTTGGGGGGGTTGTGTTAGGGAACATGTGTTATTACTACTGGGCAACTGAATTGTCTGGCCTGCTTGTTCTTTGGCTTGTCTTTTGCATCCACATTGTCTGCCCCTGCTGCTGCTGCTGCTGTCCTTTGCTTTTTCTGTGGTTGGGGCTCCAAAGCTTCGTGAGCATCTGGAGTTGGACTCGAAACCAGGGAAGAGTCCTCATCTAGAAGATCACTTTCAGCTGCTGCTTCCTTCTCTTCTTCCTGCTGCTGTTGTTGTCTGCCTCTGCCTCTGCCTCTTCCTCTGCCTTTGCCTCTGCCCCTTGCACGTGGCTTAGTTTCTTCTGTTTGCTGTGTGGCTGGCTGGAAAGCTTCTGCTGACTTGCGCACCTTTTTTTGCACCTGACAAGCAGAATGAAGTTTGCCAGTTTTACTACCCGGTCAGGTTTCCCAGCCTCCATGATGCTTGGACACGAGGGCTCCATTGTGGCCACAAGCTTCTCGGCAGCTTGTTTCAAAACTTCTGGCACCTCTAACAGCTTGAAGGCGCCGCCCAAATCATCCTGACAATCTAGGGTGACCTTCTTGGATTGACAAAGGTTGACAGCTTCAAATACTTTTTTGGCACCTCTTGCTGCTGAGCCCTCAACGCTTCTGGGGAACAAATGAAAGGATAGAGGTTTGAGAAGCTCATGAAGTACTTGCCCCCCTGGCCTTCTTGATGGAAGAAATACACAGACATGTGCTTCCATTGGTTCCCAACAGAGACTGAAGGCTGGAGAGGATCTAAAAAGGGGACCCTGCAAAGCTTATTTTTTGTCCTTGGTGTATGCACCCAGCAGTCCTGGAACGCTAGCTTTACAGCGGCTGCCTCCTTGCTGCTTGCTGCTGCTTGCTGTTTGTTTTTTGCGTCTGTCTCGTGTACCAGCTGCACCATTGCTGCCACCCGTTCTTTGCTGGTTGAGCTGCATGCATCCACTGCTTCAGCATTGCCTGCTGAGCTTGCAGTTGAGTCCACATTTTCTGCTGCTGTTGATTCCATATTTTCGGCTTCTGTGTTCTGAGCTGCCTTGTTTGCTCGGGTATCACGCTCATCATCAGCAGCACACTCATCAATGGGCCCCTCAGTGCCATGACACACTACAGGGGGCACACATTCATCTTCTGTTTCTTCCTCTTCCTCACCTCCTTCATGTGCCTTCTTGTGCCCTTGTGCAGTTGCTGCTGCGTTCTTGCTTGTGTCTCCTGCTGACTTTCTGCAGTTCCGGGGGGGGTTGAACAAACCCCTACAGACCCTTGACCAACACAACCTTCACATGAGGTGCTGCACTAACAAAGTCAGTCCTTCAAGTTCCTTGGGCATGGGAACCGTCTCCATTTCATCAGGGTTTGCAGGTGTCAGCCTTGATGTGCTCTGAAATTCTTCATTTTCCTGTCACAAAGTCAATCGGCCCAACTGAGGGTACTGTGGATTGATGGAATGACAATTGCCAGTTGGAACCCACCACTGTTACTTGAAATTCTAGGGGGCACAATTGAATTAATTGGGTCTGTCCCCAACTGGCAATACTCTTCCATCAACCCTCAACGGTCCTTCTTGATCTGTTTCAGCAAGAGCTTCAAGCTTGCCATGTTGGATGCGCTGTACCTGTGAAGGAATTCTGGGCACGTGCCTCATGACATTTGTAAGGGGGCAACATTAGCGTGCCTCGCATCAGGATTTCTTCTTGTGCGGTCGATCACATAGGAAGCGAGAGCTCTATGCAAATCTCCTTCCACCTTTGACCACGCCTGTCATTCAACCAGCAACTGATACCACTTGCCCCGCCCGGATCATTTAACGGTTTTTGGCGACACTTTCAACCCTGCTCCCCACTATGTTCAATGGTTGTTAGAGATAGTCTGAAGGGCCTTTAATCCACATGCGGGTGTTGATTGGATTGTGGCTTGTGCTGCAGTTTGGACCTGAGTTTTCGGGCCTCTATTTGACTCCGTGTTGCCTTTGCACTCATCAGAGCGTGCTCATTGGCAACCCGCACCAAGGTTGCCTGCGTGAGTGGCAGATGTGCATGACAGTGCAGCCAAATGGGTGCAGCGCTTCAATGAGCAATGTTTGGAACCCTGTTTTGTGAAGCCCTCATGGGCCATGTTGATGCATCTAAACAAGTAGCCCTTCCCAAGGCCTGCATGTCTCGGCTTGATGGAATCTTGGTCCCAAAGTAGCACAAAAAGTCAGCAAGGAACTTGAAGTTCACAGGATCCTCCACCTGCAATGGGTGACTACTACCAGGCTTGTTTTTTTGAAAGAAATCACACTGCCTCATCAGCTGTGATGGCCCCTCGAAACAGGTTGAGGAATGTAAAGGTTACTGGAACCTGACAAGGAGCGCTGAGAACTGCCATCTGGTCCAAGCAAGCACCAGCCTTGCCCATGGACAAGGATCTAGATATTCGCTCGGAGGTCATCCCCGCTCGCTGTCCCAAGCAGCTCAGCCTGTCCAATCTGAAGTTGTGGTCAAGGAAGAACCTATCGTAAAAGGCCTGCAGGAGCCATTGAATGGTCAGGGACAAGCAAATTGGGTTGCTGTGAGGCCCACCTTCATGTCCTGCACCCGAGTATTTCGCTCCATTCGGATTGCAGCTCGGGATGGCCGGGCTGAGCTCATGGCAAGCTTTAAAGTCACTGGCTGAGTATTTCTTCAGAAACATGTTCTGTCAGGGTCATTCAAATGCTTGTTGCAGGCGTTAGCAAATTATTGAATTATGGTGACCCTTGGTGCTTCAAAAGCCACAAATGCCTGTGCCGGCAGCGCAGTGACTGATGCATGACACTGGCTCTCACAGAGGTGAAGTGAAAAACAGTCGAACATGCCGGCTGCACATTTGAACTCATCGTCGTCAGGCGGGGCAGCCCCATAGAGCACGGCCCGGCGCATCCCATCCAGAAATCTGTTGTGAAGCCCTACTATTTCTGACTTAGTCGAGCTCCATGCAGTTGCAGGTCATGAGTTTATCAAGTGTCCATCATGTTTCTTTGCACTGTTGCTTGAACAATTAAAAGCATTTTCTTTGCACTGTCATGCTGAAAAGGATCCAAAGGCCTTTGCAGACCCCTCTCAGCGGGAAGCGAGCCCAAGAAGCCAAATGAAGCGAGTCCTTGAACATTCTGCTTGTGCATTACAGGGTGGCCCCTGCCAAAAGGACAGTGGTTTACCACAACATTTGGGGCCACCCGCCAAAACAGGGTCGAAGAAGACGAGGGTGTGTGTGTGTGCGCGTCCGTGTGTGTGCGTCCGTGTGTGTGCGTATGTGTGTGTGCGTCCGTGCGTCCGTGTGTGTGTGTGTGTGCGTGCGTGCGTGCGTGCGTGCGTGCGTGCGTGCGTGCGTGTGTGTGTGTGTGTGTGTGTGTGTGTGTGTGTGTGTGTGTGTGTGTGTGTGTGTGTGTGTGTGTGTGTGTGTGTGTGTGTGTGTGTGTGTGTGTGTGTGTGTGTGTGTGTGTGTGCGTCCGTGTGTGTGTGTGTGTGCGTCCGTGTGTGTGTGTGTGTGTGTGTGTGTGCGTCCGTGTGTGCGTGCGTGCGTGCGCGCGTGCGTGCGTGCGTGCGTGCGTGCGTGGGTGTGTGTGTGTGTGGGTGCGTGCGTGTGTGTGCGTCCGTGTGTGTGCGTCCGTGTGTGTGCGTCCGTGTGTGTGTGTGTGCGTCCGTGTGTGTGCGTGTGTGTGTGTGTGTGTCCGTGTGTGTGTGTGGCAGACCATGTCTCAACCCAATGTTTGGTAGGTCTAGTGGGCTGACATGTGAAGCCTGCATGGAGGGAGCCCCTAATTTGCGGAGAGGTTTTTCGCCAGCTGCTTGTGGAAATTGTTTGTCATGCTTGTTGGGGGTATGCGTCATGTATTTTTTGGGAGTGTCGTGTGCGGCAGACACAGTTGCTTCCAGTAGCAATCGTTCATGTTTTTGCGTTTGTGTCTCACTTGCAGGGAGACTGAATATTTGGTCATCGCTGTGGCAGCCCTGGAGTCAGCTATCGCTGAGCATGGCCGTCATGCGGACAAGAAGTTCCCCACATTCGTGAAGCTGTCCCATGTCGCCGTCACTGGTGAGGTGTTCAACATGTTTGGCACCTCGCTGGCCACTAATGTGTCACAGGGTAAATGTCTGAGTATGGCGTTCTGAATGACTTGCGTAGAAGCACATCGCGGACAGTGTTTCCTTCCAAGCCCGCTGGCACTGCAACAGTTTACAGAAAAGCGTGCCTCAATTTGCTGCGCATGAGCCAAGTGAGCCAAGGCACCGAGGACTCGGTCATCGGCATAATTAAGTTCAAAGCGGTGAAAAGGCTGCTGAAGATTTTTGCACATGAGACCGTCCAGAAATTCGACGGCTTTACGGACAGAGAGGCCACGCATTATTTCCAGCCCGAGCAGGAAAAGGTGGAGGCCAACTTCATGAGGCTGGGCAAGCAGGAAAACATACGAGTGAAAACATATACAGTATGAGTGCCGACCTTTCAGTTTTACACTCCTCTGCCTCTCAAGAAGGAACATGCTTTCAACCATTTGCTCATATTCGACAGAGTTAGCCTACCTCCACTGCTACTGAGCTAATCGTTTGTGCTCCTGTTAGCTTGGCTACTGTACCATTTCCAATTTCCAGGCAATAGATTGAAATAATATAACAGGACTAAGCCTTGATGTGCAAAATTGTACAGCCAGAACCTTGCAGCTCCCAGATGCGCACCTCATTTGGAGGCTTTGAATGGGAAAGCTGTGGCCTTGTAAACAAATCATTGTATTGGAATAGTTCAACGAGCTGGAATGCGTACTAGAATCCTTCGCATATTTTTGAATGGCAGAGTTGACTGTACCAAACTGGTGCAAGAAGGTGATTCGAAAGCAATGCTTTTTGGGTTGGCCCTTCAATGATGTGTTTGTGGCGCCGCTGATCTTTGGCTGTTGCATGCTGGTGACTCCTATTGTTTCAGGGCCACGCCGGTGTTGCAACGGCCCTGAGGGAGACCGTGCCTCTGTTCTTCGGCCTGGAAGACGACGAGCCAGAGGAGAATCTGTCCCATGACGAGATGGCGCATTTGTCAGTGGTCTTTGCGGGCTTTCAGCGCACAACTGCGCTGGTCCGCCGCATGCAGCACAAGATTCTGACGAGCTACTGGGAGCCCTAAAATTGGGGGCTTCCTGGATCCACGCCCGAAATGGCGCAGACGCACAGCGGTTGGCCAGTGTGGGAGGTTGATCTCTTGTAGAATGACCACGGGGAGACTTCCCAGACTTGCTACATGTGTGTCTGCCCGTGCATGGCCAAAGCTGCTGAACGTGTGATCAACCTATCCAGCTGGTCCTGGGATACTGCCTAAGGCAAAACTGAGAGAGTTGTGAGTGGTCGAGCGTGCACTGAGCCGGTGTTGTATGCTTTGCTTGTTGACCTTTGCTGGAGAATCAATTGTGGTTCTGTGTCCTGTGCACGAAACGTCTTCTTTTCAATGGGCTCAAAGAAAAAGCCCAACTCTTGAGCGGTGTCAAGCTGAGTCCTTGAGGTCATGCAAAAATGCGGAAGCCAGATGCCAATGACAGGCTAGGTAGAAGTTGGACGGGGCAGGGAAGGCACCCTCGACATTGTGGCGCTTATGCTCCCAAAGAATGCATTTTTAAGGTTCAGGCAGTAAATGTGACTTGCAAAGGGAGAGGCTCGCATGCAGCTTTTGTTTCTTGAGTCATGTTTGGCACTTGTTTTCTTCCCCTGGCCATTGGGCAACAACAAAATGACTCAGCAGGAGGTCGTTTCTTCTTATTGAATGCCAATAAATCATCATCTGGCAACAATTCTTTCCCCCAGCGCGCAAAGCTGCCAGGTGGAAGGGCAGAGCCCTTTTTCCGCCTCAGTTTCGTCACGGAAGAGGAGGGCTATGACTTGGCTCTGCGGAGGCTCCGGCAGGCGCAGAACAGGGGCCACGCTTCTGGCTTCCGTGCGCTTTTTTGGGGATGGACGGCTTGAGGCTGGTCTATTCAAAACCCCGCGCCAAGCTCACCAATGAGCAGCGCGGAAGGGTAGAACAAAAGGTCCAGCGGCAGGCAACCTCGCTTCAGCTTTGATTCCATGTGCTGAATCACAATGCCAAAGGCCATGAGTCCTTCATGGGAAAGCCGCAGACTAGCGCGTGTCAGCATGACAGCATGATTCAATTCCGGAAACACGGCTGGAACCATCAAACCCTGGAACCACCAGCGCAAGGCCTACTGCCAGGTAATCTTTTGCCAAAGCACAGTTGTTGGATGGCATGACATGTAAACACGGCCTAATTGCACTCACCCTGACATGTCGCCTTCGGTTGGCTTCATTCGCTGTTGGTGGTGATCATTTGAGCAGTGCTGATATTGATTTCATCACCAGATGCTGCAGCTAACAAGTGCTTTATGAACCAATTCTGCTCTGTTGCTCATGTTGGTAGGCTATCCTGCTCGTGCGAGATGAACGATGTGCTTTATCTCATTTAGCACACACGAGCAGTATGAGCGGCTGTCGAGGGGTTTTAGTGGAGTTTCAACCATTTGCGGCATCAGTCTTCCCCTGCAGAGTTTTGGAAGCCAGCGACATGATGGCTCCAACCAGCAGCAGGGGACCTGCATGTCTATCACCTGCAATCAGAAGTGAGATGTTGATGTCTTTTGTAGTTGGTCTACATGCCTGTTGGGGTCTGGGCTTCATTGCAGGTCTGCCTGGAGCTCTCAGAGGGCGGCTCGCTCGATGCCTGAGGCCGACGGTGGAGCCCGCAAGTCATGGTTGGTTACCTCGACATGGCAGGGGTTTGACTCAGTTTGGAGGCTTGGACAAACCAGCACAACTGACTCAACTTTGAAATGAGATCTCCATCCGTTTTGACACGTAGCGGCTGAATGACCCTTTCGACAGTGCAGTAATATGATTTCTAGCTCTGTCTCTGTGTGGAAAGCAGCTTTCCTCAGGACTTCCAAGAGTATGGGGTGCCACTCCCAGCAAACAGCAACAAAGTTGCAACCGAATACCATCGCCTTTTCGGAGTTCATCCGTTTGTGTGTTTTGGGGTGCCCCATTTGGCAGTTCTGCATTTGCAGGCAGCAATCCGCAATGTCGCCTACCTCACGCCCGGTGACGCCTTGATGCCGGACAGATGAGCCAGGGCTCTCGGGACTCAGGATTGCTTCATTCTCTCATTTGAATGATAATGTGCTTCCTGTGCATTCTGCCCGACTTCCGGCAAACCGTTGCAGGCCTTGTGGGACCCGCGGGCTTAGCGGCAGCGAAAGCTTTACACATGAGCCAAATGGCTATGCCCAGCTAGCCAAAGCTCGCAGCAGGCGGAGAAAGCGTGTGCAGCAGCGGAGTCATGAACAGGCGACTTGTTGAGCCAGGCAACCAGGGTCACAGTGGGTAGTTGGTTTAAGAAGCGTTTCAGAAAACCTGAGACCGGTACTCAAGTAAATGATCCATCCAATCATGAAGATGCCGCATACCGCTGAGGAAAACAATGGGATACAAAGGCTAAAGGTGAAGGTGTGCATAAGGTTGGTCTGTCTAGATCGCCCCGATAGCTGTGCCAAGGATGCTGTTCTCGTCTGGATGATTCTTGGTGTTGGCCACCCTTTGTGGGCCATGTGTATTGAGGCTAGCTGGGTTTCGCCTTCCAACTGAGAAAGCTGAGCCCTTCTTTCACTCCAGTAAGCCCCGTTGAAACCCAATGCGCGTACTCACGGGCTGGTCTGGTCAAGTTCAACTCCCTCAGGATGGTGATTCTGCTGTTTCAGAGCCTGCCTTGACGTGATTGCATGATTCGGAACTCGATGATGCTGCGAGCCAATGAGCGAATTGTCTATCTAGCCATTGCTTGTGGCAGTGATAGAGGAGTACTATGCAAAACATATGTGTGAAGATATTGGGTTCTGTTACCTAGACCAACAGGAAGGCCATAGCATGCTGCTCCCCCTATTTCCTCCTAAGACTTTGCAAGTCAAGGGAACCGGGAGCTGAGCGAGGCTGACTTTGGCGTCCTAGGGCCGAGGGCAATTCAAGATTGTTTGATGCAAGATGCAATCCCATCCGAACCGAATTGCAAAGCCTGAAATCCTGAATGCCAGTGCCCAATGTCCACCAAGGGCGCACGATAGGGCGGAGGCGAGAACCGAGCGCCCGGGTGGCTGGGAGATTGGGTGCCAAAATGAGGCTTCCTCGGTGGAAGCTAAAGAAATAAACAAAGGGAAACAAGTGCTAATGGTGTCGAGAGAACACGTGCCGAAGAGTGACCGACAACCAAAGTTCCAGATTGAACATGCGCTTGCTTTCCTGCCATTGTGGAAGGCTCTTGGTCCAGGCTTTTTTGCACCTTTCGGAGCGACTGCGTTCGAAGAGCATTTTCGGGATTTGATTGAAGGCAGTTGAATTCCGATTGAATCTCATGAGTTGAGCGCAAGCTTGCAGAGCCATTTGACTACTGCCATCTCTCCCTGCCCTACAATGCGTTTCAGGTGACCCTTCAATTAAAGGTCCCTGGTGGGCCTTTTGCTTCTCACTGCCCTTGTTAAAAGTGCAGTGCACTTTTGAGCGGCACTTGGTCATGATCGTCCGTTGAATGGGAAAACTGCGAGCAACAGATATTCGCTATGATTCGCCTTCCAGTGCTGTCCTGGAATTTCTGAAGTCCCCGCAGCAGATGGGTTGCCTGTGGTTCCCTCTCAGCATTTGAGAACAATTACAGGCCTGGGACGACAGCCTGCTGACGATGCAGGCTCGACTTGAAACTGCAGGGATGCGCTCGAGAAGCCGTGCTACCACCAACTTCCCCACGTTCGTTTCTGAGGTCGCAGGCTGTCAGTTGCTAAGAGGGGGTTCTAGCCGCAACAGGGAACAAAGACCAGCGACGAGGAACACGAAAACGACGACAACAACAACATTTTCCGTTCCATGAGGGTTGTTTGGAGGCAGCTTTAGAGGGCAGATGTAGAGGCACAGGAGGCAAATGCTGCGGCTGTTTAGACTCGACCAGTGCTGAAAGCCTTTCGTCACATTCCATTTTACATTGGGAAGGACCTAAAGCTTCGTTTGGTATTGGGGAAGTTTAGGTTTGAACCATGCTTTCTCGGCGACACTGGCTGCGAGCAACTCGCAGCCAGGAACACTCACCAAGAGCTTTCCATGGATGCAGCATTCGGGTTCCTGCGTCCGCGACGGTGCACGCAGGTTGTGAACCAGGTGCAAGGACTCCTGGAAAGGCGGGGACCGTTGATTGGAGGCGATGCTGTGCCAGACAGGGCCTTCAATTCGGCAAAGTGGGCTTTGCATGGCAGCCCTCAAAAGAATCAAGACAAACCAGCAAGCTTGAACACCATGTCAACATGATAGCTGTTGACAGCAAATCAAAGGCTGCAAGGATGTAAACATCCAGTCACAGGAAGTTGCAGGATTGATTTATGTGCCAGTCTGGCATCGGCGTGACCCCTAGATGGCAGCGCTTTCGGAATGCCTAATCCAGCTTGCAAGAAGAGATGAGTGTGGAAGTTGGCTTGGCCTGTGCATCTACTCTGAGATCGTTTTGATAGGTGATAACAATGCGGAACCTCTGACTGCTTCCTGTAGCCTTGCAGTTCGCAGCGCACTTTGTGCTCCAGAGCAGCTGCGGATGTGGCACAGACAATGCGAGTGCGGAGAAGCATGAAGTTCATGCCTTTGAAATACAGAAAGCTGCAATATTGAAACGCTCGTTGCCCACATGCCATCCCTGCCAGCGTGGCATGGTGACTGACACTCGTATCATCCATTTTTGAGACATTACCATGATGCTGATTCTCGATGCAACGCATCAGGAAGCAATACAGCTGGCTTAACTATCATCTTTGCAAGCCGGTCGCGATTGTGTGGCCACAGACTTAATTTAAGCCTTGTTCGTCTCTCAACATGTACTCAACAAGCTTCCTTTAGAAGATTAGCCTTCAGTTACCGTAGAAGTGCCCTGTGCCTTCAAGGGGCGATATACAGCACTACAGCGATGCCGCATGGCCTTTGCTGGATCACAGAGGCTGGGAAGTGACAAGCGAAGGAAGAGTCCACTGTACCGCCACAGCTTGTGCGATCATCCGGCTTGTCGTGGACATTTTTTTGGACGAAGGGGCTTCCCCAATGTCTTTTCCCCATTGGAGTGGTTTCCAGCAATGCAGCAGGCGGATACCGCTGCAGCGCTTCCTCGGCAGCACAAGGTGCTGTGGCAGCCAGAGAGTCCGATGGATATGTTGAAGCCGGGGCCAGTCCTGGAGTAGGCTGTAGGCACAAGAAGTTTGCCAAGGTTTGCACTTGTTCGGAGAATCTTTGCGGCTTTGTACGGATGGATGGCAGCCAATTTCAACACCCTTGCAACGCACGCTACTTTGAAGAGCTTGCACGCCTCTAGGGCTCTGCAGCAACAAGTTTGACATTGGCCTTGAAGCGATTTTGCAGAGCAAGGTTGTCCTGTCTCCAGTCAGAACTCTTTTGACTGCATGACCTGACTGGCATTCTCGTGTGTGGTTGCGTACTCGTCACTTGCAAGACCTCACCTACTTTCCGCCGACTGATGGCCCATCATGCCCATCATATTCCAGTCACCATGATACAGTTGACTTAGCTTGAGTTCTCCCACGGAAGCATGCTTGGGCCCGCTTTTCGGTTGGACAAGGTTCGAAGCAAAGGTCCTTGCAGATAGGTTGTTCGCATTTTTAGTCCCAATCAATTCCTGGCCCAGTTGAGCACCTTCCTCCAGAGCGACTCCGCGAGCCTCAGCTTGCCTCGGCGCCTTCGTGCCGAAGGCAGGAACGAGGGCGTGCCCCTGGGCCCATGGGAAAAGTGCAGGCTTCAAAGTGGGAAAGTGGGGGCCCCTAACCACGGTGCAGCCAGATCCGTTTGACATCAGAACGATCCTTCCGACTCAATCTCGTTTGGTCTTGAGTCGGCATTTCTTGGTCCAGTCAGTTGGTATGGTGCCAGACAATATGAGGCTGAGCGGATGAAACAGCAACACTCCCTGAGACAGATTCCTGCCTAGAAACGCTGAATTCACTTGAGTCGGAAAAACAACCCGTTGTATGTGTCAATGTCAGGCATGATCCCAGGTCTTTTGGACCTATCAAATTAGCTGCACCGCCGCTTGTAATTTGAATGGCAGGAGTGTGTTGCAGGAGCGGCCGCGCAAGTCAAACATGGGGCCGCGCAAGTAAAGCGCAAGTGAAGCGCAAGTGACGCAGTGATGATCATCATCATCATCATCATCATCATCATCATCATCATCATCATCATCATCATCATCATCATCATCATCATCATCATCATCATCATCATCATCATCATCATCATCATCATCATCATCATCATCATCATCATCATCATCATCATCATCATCATCATCATCATCATCCGCATGGTCGAAAGAATCCGGAAGATTGCTAAATTTTCGCGCAAGTCGCGCGCAAGTCGCGCGCAAGTCGCGCGCAAGTCGCGCGCAAGTCGCGCGCAAGTGTCGTAGATGCCTTGGATCAGGAGTGGCCCATTTCTGTAGTTTGCATTTTCTTTGTTTCTGCAGATCCCAGCAATGAGTTGCAGCAGCAGCCAGCAGCAGCAGCCAGCAGCAGCAGCCGCAGCAGCAGCAGCCAGCAGCAGCCAGCCAGCAGCAGCAGCAGCAGCAGCAGCAGCAGCAGCAGCCAGCAGCAGCAGCAGCAGCCAGCAGCAGCAGCAGCAGCAGCCAGCAGCAGCAGCAGCAGCCAGCAGCAGCAGCAGCAGCAGCCAGCAGCAGCAGCCGCAGCAGCAGCAGCCGCAGCAGCAGCCAGCAGCAGCAGCAGCAGCCAGCAACAATTTGCAGCAGTGTACACACCTGAGACCTCATACACTTAAGGGGCATGTTTTTGGGGGACCTCACTCTTATGAAGACCGCCGCTTGGATTTGCAATGAAAACATCCTGGGATAAGAGTTTTAATACGGTTTTTTTTTCCAGCTCACTTGAGCAGTGCAGCAACTGTAAGAGGGGGAAGGGACGGAAGGGACGGGACGACAACTCCGCTCTGCGCTGAGCCTGCAATAGGCTTCTCGGGCTGGTTCCCCACGACGGAGAAGCGAGTGCAGCCGCCAGAGGTGCGGCGGGAAGGGTCACGAGATGAATTCAACTCGTTTACTGCGCGACTTGGTGTTCCTGGGTATCTAGGTTGTGTGAGAGCACGGTTTGATATGTTTTGAGGCCCAAACCCCGGGTTTCTCCGAAGAATCAACATCAAGAAACAAGCAAACAAGTCCCCGCATGTGTTTTGACCCATTATTTACAGTGTTTTAAGCTCATGACATACCAACAGACCTCATGCCACTACATGGAACGCGCGCGGACTAACACCACGGAAGTCCGTGTGAATCAACATGAATTCAAGTGACCGAAATCTTCTCCAATGTTCAACACTCATTCAATTCCCACTGTAATTGCAAGATTGGAGAAATGTCTGACCAGATCATGAGCAGCAAAAAAGTGCAGATTTGCCCTGTTTCCGCGTCAAAATCACACATCAACAGTTTCTACACTTTCCACAGCGGCTGATTGAAAGCCTTCGTGGGGCAATTCAGTTCCATGCATTTCTGGCGGTGCATTTTCAATGCAGCCAGCACACTTTGAATGAGTGTTGAACATTGCAGCAGATCCCGGTCACTTGTGTTCATGCTGATTCGCGGTGTAAGTCCGCACGCGTTCCATGAAGTGGCATGAGGTCTGTTGGTATGTCATGCGCTCAAAACACTGTAAATAATGGGTCGAAACGCATACGGGGACTTGGCTAGTCGTTTGTTGACATTCAGGGATTCCGGGGCAGGAAGTTCCTGTCAATGAACGTTATCATATTGCCCCACCCCACCCCCCCCCCCCACCCGAACAAAGGGATTACGGGCCAGGAAGTTCCTGTCAATGAACGTTATCATATTGCCCCACCCCACCCCCCCCCCCCAGCACAGCTTAAGCTGTTGTGATTGCTGGAGCTGAGAGGACCTGGGCGTGATGCGGTCTCTCGGAGAAATCTGGGGTTTGCCCCTGTTTTGAGGACTAAAATCTTGCGCCAGCAAGTACTGTTCTTCATGTCCAATTCAAGATGAGGACCCGCAAGCGGCCCCTGCGGTTCCACTGCTCACCAGTGTTTCTACTCGGTGGAGCTACCTCCATGAGCAATCGCTTACCCTCATCTCTCTCTTTTGTGCCACTGACTATGTCCCACGGAGATCCTTTTATATCTGTCTTGTGGTTTTCGGAGTTCAGAAAGTTGACACTGGGCTGTCCTTCCTTGGACCCTTGTTCTGACATATTGCGGCCACGGAGAGGGAACAGATTCCTGAATAGGGCGCTGGCTGGAACATTAACGGCTGCAGATGTCCCAGTTGTTTCTGGGTTTCCTCCGCGCTCATCAACAGTTCCAGCTTTTTATGGCCACAAGCACAGGGATGTTGTGAACACTGCATGTCCCTGAAAGACTGGAACGCTGTTCTTTGCAAAGTGGCTTCAATGATGTAGTCTGGCAGCCCAGCAGGACAAAGACCTTACCCGTGACAAGTTGTGTTTTTGGTTTAGGATCAGTACGTGATTGAGTGCCATACAGCCAAACGGTTGCACCAAGTTTGGTTTGTTATCACTGGCTCTTGGCAATTGGCACCCGTCACTTGGTAAACCACTTGTTAGCCCTACATCCTGGGTGGGCGCTGAGCCATTGAGCCAATGCCCCAGGGCCAAGAAGAGTTCGAGCTACAGCAAGCCGAGAAGGTGGAGGCGGGAGGGGACAATAATCGGATCCTTTTTCGGCAGCTACTCGCCATTTCTAGGAACATACTCCATCCCATCAATGTTCCAACTTCAATTTTGCCTATCGTTTGCGCATGTGCATGTGAGGTCTAGGTGAGCAAGATTGAACCTGCTAAAGACATTCGGCGCCTTGACAGCAGGCAACCTGGCAGTGGCGCTACTACAATGAACAGAGAAGTATCTGCATTTCACGCTAGACACTACATTTTTGAATCACTCTCAAACCACCATGCGGTCCCAGACTTGAGCGTTCGCAGGTCGTCAAAGTTTGTTTTGGTGGGCTTGTGGACTTCTGCTGCACGAGAAGTGCTTCGAGCAGTCTGGGTCTGGATCGAGAACAAGCTGGATGGTGAATACAGGGCCCAGGTTTGGGAGCATGACTGAAGAGAATCTTGTTGGCTGTCAGATTTCCTTGCGCAAATACCTTGCTGTTAGATTAGCGAGACCAACTGATCATCAAGAGATGGCTTAAATTGACGCCTTGTGAGCTGCTCGATACAGTGCAAGTATCAACACATTTGACCCAAGTCAGTGGGTCATTGGACCCTTACAGGATTTTGGCCAACAGACCTGAACACCTGAACACCAATATGTTTGTCCATGGTTGATCCCTACAACCAAGGCCTGACCTTTTTCCAGCATGAGCACAACTCGTGCTCCCACAAACCAGATGGCGGAGTGTATCACAAATGAGTCATGCTGGGCAAATTGGTTGAGAAGGAAGTTGCACTGCTTGGGTGTGGAAGCGCACCGTCTCTCTCAAACGAAGTTGTGCCTAACCAGGAGGAAGAGGAAGATCCTTTGTCCAAAGCGCCCTGGATGCAGGAATTGGAAGCTCGGATATTGGGAAGACTGTGCATGTGAGCCAGAATCGCTCTTGCGGGTGAAGTTTCTCCATTGAGGGCTGCGCCCAACAGATGTTGTCGGCCGGGGTGGGGGCAATGCATGCATGGATTGCACGCGTTTCTGGAGCTCCTTCCGGGAAGAGGACTCTCTCCTCAACACGAATGGTCAACAATGCGGGATTGTAACCTACTCAAAGATGAATCCCGTTGTGAAATCAAACCCTGGGAGAGTACCTGCAGGGTTCTACAAGCCACTTCCACACTCCCACTTGTCCTTTGGGCTTAGATGGTGGCTTGGGCATTGGTTTTCTGTGTGGATCACTCTCTGAAACCGAGGGGCAATTGTGGCGATGTCCTGTGAACTGGCCCTCCTGTTTTTGAGCGTGCCATCGGACAAGAATCTAAATTTGCGCCAGGTCTTCCAACATGTTGACCATCAAACCCAAACCGAGTATTTCATTTGCAGCTTTCGGGCGCACGCCCGAATAGTGCAAGAGGCGCTCAAGTGCAGAGTCTTTTAAACAGCTTCCTCTCCAGCCAATTGCTATCCGCCCACCAATTACGCATGCCCCCCCCAATTGTCCAACCAGTTGCAACATGCTGAGCAAGTGGAGACGTTGGCTCTAATGACAGGTGATTACCTCATCAACACCGGTTGCGTATGCAGTATTGGCTAACATGCATTTTGAACAAGAAGACAGCACTATTTTCACTACATGTCGTTTGCTGCTCATGTCCATTTGCCGGGCTTATGTTGTGGACAAGTTGCTCTTGTGGTTGCCTTTGGCTTGAGTCAACCCAAATCACGGACCCAGGCGCTGGATGAGGCTGGGGATCAGGCGGCGGGAGCAGCGCAGAAGGAGCTGGATGCGATAAAGGCGCGGCTGCGATGTGCTTTGGCATCGAACTTCGCAGCTTCACAGTTGAGGGAGCAGTTGGTATTCAGGGACAGAAGATGAGCGCGTGGCCCTTCATGACGCGGTTCCCGTTTGACTCATTTTGAAGCAACATCAGGCACCAACGAGGGCTGCTTGTTGAACACTTGTTTTAGCCTCAACTCAGCATCGCAGGACAAGATGACAAACTCGCTGGAGGCTGGCAAGGACGACGGCGAGGCAGACGCTGCTGTGGAGGCAGTCAAGGAGCCGTGTGGGCCATGCGAACAGCTGAAAGGGAGGAGGGCGAAGGAGGGAACTTCTGGGTGAAACAGACAGACTGCGTGAGGTGAGGATCTTGAATCGTGGGTCATGTGGGCTTAGTTGCTCTGCTAGATATGTGGGTGAATGCCGATTCTTCCCGTTTGAAAAACCTATTCACATTGTTCCCATGAGATGTTGATCATTTGGGTCAGGGTTCTACAACCACATTCCCAACAATTTGTGACCCTCCTACGGCTCGTGATACGACATTTCATCTCAGCCTGTTCATGCATCAGCACGGGGTTGTGATAGCGGAGGTGTGGAGCACTCTGCTTGTTCTTTTTTTTGTTTAATGCGCGCATAGAACCACATTGACATGACACGAGCCATCACGCGGAAGCAATAGTATGTAGCTTCATACAGGGTTGTTGACGTGTACACATTGAAATTGGAACATGCCAGGCCTTGGCGTGCTTACATGTTGACATCGTCTCTATCGATAGCCTGTCTGGGGTGACTATCATTTGCCAAGCGCCTGGCACGCACCTTGCAGGAGGAGGAGGACACAGGTGATCCACCAGACGCCGCTCGTCTCAAGCGATCAGGTTAGCTTTGTGGGCCTCGGGTGATCCGTCTTGGGGCCGCACATTGAAGCCCATGGGGCAGTGCTGCTTTTTCTTGGAGCGGAAGGCTGGCCTTTCGTTCTGTCGGCCAAGGTGAATTTATACTCATTTTGTGGAATTGGGGGCTCTTCCTGAGTTGATAACTCATCTTTTAAACAACCTTCTGTCAGGGTTCTTGTGGGTGTGGGTGGGAGGTGGGAGGGGAGTTGCTGGCTTGCCTTGATTGCCTTGATCGTGTCTGGTACGAGTACATTGCCAGTCTTTCGATGCGCCATGTGTTGTGCGCACTCTGTTTAGCCTCCATTCTTCAAGTCTTTTGACCCACCAAGTCACTTCCAGGAAACCAATGCCCAGACAAACCAACACATGCGAGACAAACACTTCAATGGCCCAAGAGCCAACACAAGGGAGACGAGTCGAGACGACTGTCCGTACCGACTCGAGACAGAGACCTTGCAGGTGGACGACGAGCTGCCGGGCCCTTTCTACACCCAGGCCTGGTTCCTGGCGCTCTCGCTCTTCAGCCTGGCAGGGGTCACCAGCTTCGTGGTGGCGCGGCTGCAGCGCAACCAACTGATGTTAATGACTTTGGACTCCTGGACAGATCGTGGACACGCGGAGTTGGGGGGCTTCAATGGAACCACTACGAGGAAGGTCTCCGAGTTCAGACATACCCTGCGATTTGGTTCCAGCAAATTCAATCGGCATCATGTAATGTCAATACAGAATTTGAATGGCAAGATGTCTCAGGCGACCTCACCCCAGGATCGATCTGCTTCTTTCAGTGATCGGCCGGCTCGAGCAGGTGGACGGCCGGTTTGATCTGTAGGGAACCCCCGGACATGTGTTTCTCCTATGTGTATTCTTGGATGTTCTCCTTTTGAACGCAAAGTCCTGTTGACCCATTGAGCCCCAGGGTTGTTATAGTCAAGTGAGGCGACCGATTTGGATCTGCCGCACCCTCCCCCTTTAGCGGAGGTCTGGCAAGCCGCCCAGCTGAACAAGGACGCGAAGCCTCCTGAGGACGAGCTTGACCAGTATGCGCCGCGGACGAAACGGGGAAAGCCGCTTTTCGATGCGGCAGAGCCAACATGTGACGGTTCCCTTGCTCGCCTACGAGATGCTCTTGTGATTGGAAAAGGCCTGCCGCCCGCCACTCGAGTGCTCTTGTTTTCTCGTACGAGTTCCAACCTCAGAAAGATGCATCGGCCGCCCACTCGAGGCCCATGACCCGCGGGCGCCCGTGGCGCCGGCCAAGGGCAAGGGCAAGGGCAAGGGCAAAGGCGCTGAGGCGGGGCGAGAGACGGGATCCGGGAGGGTGGAAAGGCCATTTGGCCATTTGTGTTTCTGCCTCAAAGTTTGCAAAGCTGCACCCAGATGTTTCTCTGTGATGTGCTGACTTGCCATGATGACTCCTTGATACAATCGGATCGAAAAATGACGGGATCCGAGCTTCCCTGTCAAACACGTGGGTTCTTATTCTCCAGCATGGTGCAACAGGACACGAGAGGAGCCGTGCAGAGTAGCCTGCAACATGGTTGATTCCTGCGAAATGTGGGCCCTAGCGATGAACGAAAACGGCAAGATTTGGCCAGGCAGAAGTTCCCAGCCGGGCTGTTGCTTCGCTCCCGAGGCCGCGGCTTCCTAGACTCAACTCGCACCAGGAGAGTTCCGCTGTGACCAGGTGGGAAGAAGCCTGGTAGAGCACACACACAAGCTTGCTGGCATCTTCTTGCATGTTTTTCTTTGCCCCTTGCCAAAACAGAAAATCTTTGTTTGACTCATTTGAGAGCTCTGATTGAATTCGAGGACCAGCCAAAAGATGCGGCTTAGCACCTATAAACGGCACCGGCAATATGGGGGACTGTAGACTGTAGATTGATGTTTGGCTCAAATGAGAACCTTACCCTTTTCGAGCCTCGCACCTCCGGCAGCTTCGACTGATCCACGATGTAAGGAATCTCGGATCCTGAGATCCCACAAGATCAAATCTCCGGTCTCAGATTGGATGTGACATTAGCAAATCGCGCCGTTCCCCTCAATGAATAGGCTCGCACATCCAGTTCCAGCGAGCTCTTTCTCCGTGCTTTTTGTCGTGGCCAACTTACACAATTTAAGATGCTGCATTATAAGCCATCATGGCATGGAGCATGAGATCCATTCTTTCCCTCTTTTCACCCTGTTGCACTGTTGCTTTTTCAGTCGCTAGCCGCCAGCCGCTAATTCTTAACAAAGCTTGATTGACAATGGCCTTCCGGACAATTTGAGCCGAGTTTTCTTGTGAGAAGGTGTGGTTTGGATGCCATGAACATAGATGACCTTGAAAGTGAAGTGCTGGCGTGGCTCAGATTGCAGGAGCTGAGAGAGGCAGTCAGGGTTCTTTGCCGAGCTGCGCCAGTGGCGGGGCTTGCACATGTCCGCCGCAAGGCAAAGCTCTCCGGGTCAATGTGAGACATTTGTTGTGCAGGCAAGCTTAAAACAGTTTGTGGTTGGGTTTTTCCCGCATTCCATCAAGGCCTGAAGAGGTTTGAACATTTTTTGGCTAGTGAATGCTTGCAGATCAGGCAAGCACTCTCCCCTTTGAGAAAAGCTGAAGCACAATTTGTCTCTTGACTCCCTTGTACAGCATCCCTGCTCCAAGTAGTGCTCGTTTTCGGGTTCGACATGGTTTTTATGCATCAGATTCACAAATTACAGACCTCGCCTGAAAGGCATGAAACTAGGTGACCCTGTGAGCCCTGCAAACCCCAGTACCTGCGCCGACTTGCCCAGCGGCAAGTTCGCAGCGGGCGAGAGCAGCGTTCTCCGCTAAACAGGTAGCCTCGTGTCTGTGTAGCTTTCGAAGGAGCCAGTCCTGAAAAGAAGGCACCGCGACATCAGGTTTTCTTGTTTCTCGTTTCGACTGCAACACTTCAGAATTACAAGTGTGATGGGAGCTGCTTGGACATGTGTCAAGGGGTCAGAAAGCCATGTTTGTTCCCCTTTTTTCTCCCCCGTCCAGAAGAAGCCAGTTGCGCGTCCTATTTCCATTGTTTCCCCACCCGTGAATTATCTTTGCGAAGCCTATCATTGTCACTTGTCCATAATGAATGGCACACTTCGCTTCCAGGGCGAATACAAAGCCACACAAACAGCAAATCAGGAAAACGAAGCGCACACAAAGCAAGCAAAGCAAAGAGAACGACCGCACCTCGGGGGCAGCTCGTCTCCGTGCAGGTTTCAGATCACCATTGCCCAGCAGATTCAGGGCTTGGCCATGCAGCAGCAGCACCACCAGGACCGAGCGACGGCTCGGGTTGTGGCTGCGGCTGATGGTGTTTATGTATATGTAAAACAACACAAGACATATTCATGTTGTTGAATGACTTGGTATCCAAGGAAATTTAGGAACTTCCGTGGTACGAACACTGTTTGAATGCTAGCTCTGTGTCAGAAGGCCAGAGAAGAACAAGCACAGACGATGGAGAATGTGCCAGCCTGTGGCGGGGGAATAGAAACTTTAGAGCCTCCGGCTCAGTCCGCCGACATTGTCCTCTCCCTTTTCTCCTTCTTCCTCTCTCCCTTGTCTCCCTGGTGTGTTCTGTCGTCCTCTCTCCCTCCCTCCGCTCCCCATCCTCCCCATCCCCCCAAGCCACTCTCTCCCCAATCTCCCTCTCGTATGTATGTATGTATGTATGTATGTATGTATGTATGTATGTATGTATGTATGTATGTATGTATGTATGTATGTATGTATGTATGTATGTATGTATGTATGTATGTATGTATGTATGTATGTATGTATGTATGTATGTATGTATGTATGTATGTATGTATGTATGTATGTATGTATGTATGTATGTATGTATGTATGTATGTATGTATGTATGTATGTATGTATGTATGTATGTATGTATGTATGTATGTATGTATGTATGTATGTATGTATGTATGTATGTATGTATGTATGTATGTATGTATGTATGTATGTATGTATGTATGTATGTATGTATGTATGTATGTATGTATGTATGTATGTATGTATGTATGTATGTATGTATGTATGTATGTATGTATGTATGTATGTATGTATGTATGTATGTATGTATGTATGTATGTATGTATGTATGTATGTATGTATGTATGTATGTATGTATGTATGTAATGTAATGTAATGTAATGTAATGTAATGTAATGTAATGTAATGTAATGTAATGTAATGTAATGTATGTATGTATGTATGGTATAGGTATAGGTATGTATGTATGCATGCCTGCATGTATGTATGTATGTATGTATGTATGTATGTATGTATGTAATGTGTATGCATGTATGCAATGTAATGTAATGTAATGTAATGTAATGTAATGTAATGTAATGTATGTATGTAATGTAATGTAATGTAATGTAATGTAATGTATGTATGTATGTATGTATGTATGTATGTATGTATGTATGTATGTATGTATGTATGTATGTATGTATGTATGTATGTATGTATGTATGTATGTATGTATGTATGTATGTAATGTAATGTATGTAATGTAATGTAATGTAATGTAATGTAATGTAATGTATGTAATGTAATGTATGTATGTATGTATGTATGTATGTATGTATGTATGTATGTATGTATGTACATGCCTGCATGTGTATGTATGTAATGCATGTATGCATGTATGCAATGTAATGTAATGTAATGTATGTAATGTATGTAATGTATGTAATGTATGTATGTAATGTAATGTAATGTAAAGTAATGTAATGTAATGTAATGTAAAGTAATGTAATGTAATGTATGTATGTATGTATGTAATGCGATGTAATTTAAAGTAATGTAATGTGATGTTGTGTAATGTAATGTATGTATGTATGTTTGTATGTCTGTCTGTCTGTGTGTATGTCTGTATGTATGTATGTATCCTTGCACTTCCCCTTTGCTCCCCAGTATTTCCCGCAAAAAACACTGTTTTTCCGGCGTTTTCGCAAAGATGATGTCCAAAAACACAGAGTTTTTCCAGATTTTCGGCAAAAGGATGCAGGAAGCCCAAGCCAGCAAAAAAGCCGGCAGGGGGAATCGAGCCTGGGACCCCTGTTTTGCGACACCGGGTCCCCGAAGACTACGTTTAGTGGAACGTCATCAAATTGCCGCGCGGTCCTTGGGGGGGGGGGGGGGGCCCCCCCCCCCCACGTATCAGACGTCGGGAGGGGGGGGGGTTATCCTCTATCCTCTCTTAGGTGTCCGACACGCCGAGCAATGTCGGCGGATTATTCAAAACGTGCAGCCCTGCGCGCGAATTCAACTGCTCGACATGAGTCGGTTGTGAGGTCTGGCGGAGCCATGCTCGGAGTGGCTGCGGAGCGGTCTCGGGGCATCGCGACATTTGTTTGCGAGGCAGGTGCGCTTTCGCAAGGTCAGGAGCAGATTTCCCAGCAGGCGCAGCACTTTCGTCGGGTCAGGTACAGATTGCAAGGCACGCGCTTTCGCAAGGTCCAGAGCAGATTTGGCGGCAGGCCAAGTGAGGGTCAGGTCAGATTTCGCAGCAGGCGCTGCGCTTTCGCGAGGTCGGGTACAGATTGCAAGGCACGCGCAGAACCTTCGGACCAGTGATAGATAAGGTGAGGTACAACGGAAATAGAGAGACGCTGGCAGACTCACGCAGTGTTGAGCGAAAAGGGCGAGGCACGGGGAAAGAAACAAAGAAATTGCTTTGAGACCAGCGACAAAGCGAAAGAAAAAGAGGAAGAAGAAGAGAAAGAGAAAGAGAGGATGAAAACCAACAGGCGTGGCTACAGTTTGTTTGCGTGATATTTGCTGCAAGGTCATCGCCCCAACAGCTGCTTCCAAGAAAATAATCTTTCTGCGAATGGGAGGAAATAAAATCATACGAATCATCACCGTTATCAATGTCATCGATTTTCAAGCAACCAACCAGCTTCACCTGCTCAAAGCGAATGCGCGTTTCACCAACAACATCTCCCGTTCTGTGCACCAAAAGCAAACCCTGGCAATCATGGAATCATGGAACATGCTTGTGGAAAACATCCCTGATTTCCCCACGCAAATGGCCGTTCCAAAGCTCCCGACCGTGTCTTGACACACAAACATGTGTACAAGTAGAGCAGGCGATGCCTGGGGGCGGAAGTTTCAAACCTAGAAGAACTGAAGTTATCATTCTTTTTCTGTTGCTCTTTGTTCTTTCCCTTCCTCTTCTTTCTCTCGTTTCACTATCTTGGTTGTTTTTCTTTGCCTTTCTCTACTTTATCTCTTTCTCTCTCTCGCTCACTCCGCTCTTTTCTTTATCTTTCTCTGTCTCTCTCGCTCTCTCTCGCGCTCTCTCGCTCTCTCTCTCTCTCTCTCTCGCTCTCTCGTCTTTCTCTTTCTCTTCCTCTGTCCCCTTTCTCTTATTCTTTCTCTTACTCGTTTCTTCTCTCTTGCTCTTCTTTCTCTTCATCTTCTTGCTCTTCATTTTCTTGCTCTTCATCTTCTTTCTCTTCCTTTTCCTCCTTTTCTTTGTCTCTTAGGGTTGCTGGGGTAGCCAGGAAAGTTCCGCATGGCGCCAGCCAAGAACGCTGGCCATTCCCAGAGAAGTTTGCACACGCATACTTTGTTGAGGCATGCAGAGGTCAATATAATGCGTTTTGCGGCCAACACGGGAGGGAGTCTGC